CCTATGAGCCCTATAGCACCATGAGCCCTGTGAGCCCTGTGAGCCCTATGAGCCCCATGAGCCTTCTGTGCACCGTAATCCCCACGAGTCTTTTGGGCCCTATGAGCCCGATGAGCCCTATGGCCCCTATGGGTCCCACAAGCCCTACGAACACTGTGACCCCTGTGAGTCCTATGAGCCTTATGAGCTCTACGAGCCCGCTGAGCCGCCCTATGAGCCCTATAAGCCCTACGAGCCCTCAGGCTCCATGAGCCCTATGAGCCCTACGAGCCCTATGAGGCCCCGAACCCCACGAGCCCTCCGAGCCCGATGAGCCCTGTGAGCCCGGTGTCGCATTATGAGCCCTACAAGCCTTATGAGCCTTATGGGGCCTGCGACTTCCGCCAGCCCCATGGGCCCCATAAGACCTATGAGCACTACGAGCCCCGTAAGCCCTTTTGGCCCTAAGCCTTGTAGGCCCATGCGCCCTACAGCCCTATGAGCCCTATGATCACATACGAGCGCAATGACCCCTATGAGCACTATGAGCCCGATGAGCCCGATGAGCCCTGCAAGCCCTCCGAGCCCTTTTGGGCCCCTTGAGCCCGATGAGCCCTGTAAGCCAGGTGTCGCCATATGAGACCTAAAAGCCCTACGAGCCCTATGGGCCCTATGAGCCCCTTGAGCCTCGAACGCCTTATGAGCCCCTTGAGCCCTACGAGCCCTATGAGGTGTATGAGCCGTGCGAGCCCTATCAGCCCTACGAGCCTTCTGAGCCCTACGAACCTTATGAACCCGATGAGTCCCATGAGCCCTCTGAGCTCTACGAGCCCAATGAGCCCTATCAGCTGTGCGAGGCGCATGAGCCCTGTAATCCCATTGAGCCCAATGAGCCCCATGAGCCCGATGGGCCCAATGAGCCCAATGTGACCCCCGGGCGCCATGAGCCCTACGAGCCATGCGAGCGCTTTCAGGCGCATGCGCCCTCTGAGCCCGCTGAGTCCTATGAGCCTTATGAGCCCTATGCCCTATGAGCCCTGCGAGCCCTGTGAGTCTTTCGATCCCACCGTGAGACCCTGTGGGCCCAATGGGCTCTCTGAGCCCTGTGGTCCCCAAGAGCCTGGCGAGATGAGCCACGTGCGCCCGGTGTCGCCCTATGAGCCCTGATAAGCCCTATGAGTCTTATGGGCTTGCGCCCTCCACGAGCCTTACGAGCCCTATGAGACCCATGGGCCCACCGAGCCCTGTGGGCCCTACGAGCCCTGCGCGCCCTATGAGCCTTATGATCACATACGAGCCCAATGACCCTTTGAGCCCTATGAGCCCGATGAGCCCTATGAGCCCGATGAGTCCCACGAGCCCTACGAGCCCCCCGAGCCCTATGAGCCCAATGAGCCCTGAGAGCCCCTTGAGCCAAATGAGCCCTACGAGCCTCATGCGACCTATGAGCCCTATAGCACCATGAACCCTGTGAGCCCTGTGAGCCCTATGAGCCCCATGAGCCTTCTGTGCACCGTAATCCCCACGAGTCTTTTGGGCCCTATGAGCCCGATGAGCCCTATGGCCCCTATGGGTCCCACAAGCCCTACGAACACTGTGACCCCTGTGAGTCCTATGAGCCTTATGAGCTCTACGAGCCCTCTGAGCCGCCCTATGAGCCCTATAAGCCCTACGAGCCCTCAGGCTCCATGAGCCCTATGAGCCCTACGAGCCCTATGAGGCCCCGAACCCCATGAGCCCTCCGAGCCCGATGAGCCCTGTGAGCCCGGTGTCGCATTATGAGCCCTACAAGCCTTATGAGCCTCATGGGGCCTGCGACTTCCGCCAGCCCCATGGGCCCCATAAGACCTATGAGCACTACGAGCCCTGTAAGCCCTTTTGGCCCTATAAGCCTTGTAGGCCCATGCGCCCTACAGCCCTATGAGCCCTATGATCACATACGAGCCCAATGACCCCTATGAGCACTATGAGCCCGATGAGCCCTGCAAGCCCTCCGAGCCCTTTTGGGCCCCTTGAGCCCGATGAGCCCTGTAAGCCAGGTGTCGCCATATGAGACCTATAAGCCCTACGAGCCCTATGGGCCCTATGAGCCCCTTGAGCCTCGAAAGCCTTATGAGCCCCTTGAGCCCTACGAGCCCTATGAGGTGTGTGAGCCGTGCGAGCCCTATCAGCCCTACGAGCCTTCTGAGCCCTACGAACCTTATGAACCCGATGAGTCCCATGACCCCTCTGAGCTCTACGAGCCCAATGAGCCCTATCAGCTGTGCGAGGCGCATGAGCCCTGTAATCCCATTGAGCCCAATGAGCCCCATGAGCCCGATGGGCCCAATGAGCCCAATGTGACCCCCGGGCGCCATGAGCCCTACGAGCCATGCGAGCGCTTTCAGGCGCATGCGCCCTCTGAGCCCTCTGAGCCCTCTGAGTCCTATTAGCCTTATGAACCCTATGCCCTATGAGCCCTGCGAGCCCTCTGAGTCTTTCGAGCCCACCGTGAGACCCTGTGGGCCCAATGGGCTCTCTGAGCCCTGTGGTCCCCAAGAGCCTGGCGAGATGAGCCACGTGCGCCCGGTGTCGCCCTATGAGCCCTGATAAGCCCTATGAGTCTTATGGGCTTGCGCCTTCCACGAGCCTTACGAGACCTATGAGACCCATGGGCCCACCGAGCCCTGTGGGCCCTACGAGCCCTGCGCGCCCTATGAGCCTTATGATCACATACGAGCCCAATGACCCTTTGAGCCCTATGAGCCCGATGAGCCCTATGAGCCCGATGAGTCCCATGAGCCCTACGAGCCCCCCGAGCCCTATGAGCCCAATGAGCCCTGAGAGCCCCTTTGAGCCAAATGAGCCCTACCAGCCCCATGCGACCTATGAGCCCTATAGCACCATGAACCCTGTGAGCCCTGTGAGCCCTATGAGCCCCATGAGCCTTCTGTGCACCGTAATCCCCACGAGTCTTTTGGGCCCTATGAGCCCGATGAGCCCTATGGCCCCTATGGGTCCCACAAGCCCTACGAACACTGTGACCCCTGTGAGTCCTATGAGCCTTATGAGCTCTATGAGCCCTCTGAGCCGCCCTATGAGCCCTATAAGCCCTACGAGCCCTCAGGCTCCATGAGCCCTATGAGCCCTACGAGCTCTATGAGGCCCCGAACCCCACGAGCCCTCCGAGCCCGATGAGCCCTGTGAGCCCGGTGTCGCATTATGAGCCCTACAAGCCTTATGAGCCTTATGGGGCCTGCGACTTCCGCCAGCCCCATGGGCCCCATGGGTCCCATAAGACCTATGAGCACTACGAGCCCTGTAAGCCCTTTTGGCCCTATAAGCCTTGTAGGCCCATGAGCCCTACAGCCCTATGAGCCCTATGATCACATACGAGCCCAATGACACCCTATGAGCACTATGAGCACTATGAGCCCGATGAGCCCTGCAAGCCCTCCGAGCCCTTTTGGGCCCCTTGAGCCCGATGAGCCCTGTAAGCCAGGTGTCGCCATATGAGACCTATAAGCCCTACGAGCCCTATGGGCCCTATGAGCCCCTTGAGCCGCGAAAGCCTTATGAGCCCCTTGAGCCCTACGAGCCCTATGAGGTGTATGAGCCGTGCGAGCCCTATCAGCCCTACGAGCCTTATGAGCCCTATGGGCCCGATGAGTCCCATGAGCCCGATGAGTCCTATGAGTCCTATAGGCTCGATGCGCCTTATGAGCCATATGAGGCCTATGAACCCAATGAGCGCATGAGCCCCATGAGCCCTCTGAGCCCTCTGAGCCTATGGGCTCCATGAGCCAGAGGAACCCTGTACGCCCGGTGTCGCCCTCTGAGCCGTACAAGCATTACGAGCCCTATGAGCCCCATGGGGCCTTGGTCAGGTCTCAGGGATTTAACGTTTGAGGGTCTTTGGGTATTGTGGTCATCCAGTCTTTCGATCTTAGGGTACTTGGGTCACAGGGTTCAAGAATCCTAGGGCTCTGAGGCTTTAGGGTTTATGCTGTTGGACTATCAAAGTCTCGAGGTCTTCAGGCCTTCGTGGCTGCGGCCAACAAGCGGCGCCGGCCCGAATAGCTGCGTCAGGAGCGCCACCAGGCGTCAGGCCGATAGCGGCGTCAGGCCGAATATAGAGGCGTCAGGAGCGTCTCCAGGCGTCAGGCCACTAGAGGCGTCAGGCCGAATAGAGGAGTCAGGAGCGGCACCGGGCGTCAGGCCAATAGAGGCGCCGCCACGGCTCTTTTGACGAATCGAGTCTTCAAATCGCGTCTTCGTCTTCGGGCGTTCTGGCCCACCCCGGGCCACCTCCCATGTATACATCCTTACACATACATACATGTGTACACTCAGACTTCGCATGGGCTCGACCTCGCAGACCTCGCGGCGCCCTGTTTCACCTTGCTCGCGCGCCCTCTGGCGCTAGGCTTCTCGTTCGTTTGGGGTGGCCCGGATCTCTCTGAGGGGTCCCGGGGCTCCGACGGACGCGCTCGTGTGACCGTTTCGGGGGGAATGCGGGGGCTCCACTGCGCTGCATGGCGGTCACGGTCAACCCAAAATGGCTCACCGTGGTGGCGCAAAGGGCGTCTACGAGGCTGAATACAATCGGAGTTCAAGAGACAGGGGTCAATGCAAACAGGGGTCAGCCGGGGCACCGGATCCTGCAGGATCCTGCGAAGACCCCCTCTGGTTGACCTGGGTTAGCGAGCCGCTCGTGGCCGCGAGGCGGCCGCGCATAGTGGCTGACCCGGGTTTGCGAAGCCCTGCGTTGTATTTTTTTCCCTGCATTGCAGTTTTTGGTTTCCTGCTAACGCGGGTCTGATTGACCCGGGTTAGCAGATCCCCGATAGAAGCATGGTCAGGGCCCCAGGAGCACGCCACAGAAGTCCCCGACAGGCAGAAGTCGCAACCTGTGTTGGCGAATCTAGATCCTCGCTTGTTCTGCTTCCGAATGCCCAAGACGGCCCAATCGCATACCCAAATTACCCCAAGACGGCCCCAAAGGGTTACAAAAGGGCCCCACGACGGCTAAACAGGGCCCCCAGACAGCCAAGAAGCAAATTGGCGGCCTCTGTAATTATTTGGGCTGAAGTATTTTTGGGTCACTAGTCGGCCAACGTCGCACCCTTGACTCGCAAACTATGTCCAGAGAAATACCTGATCCTCTGAGCCGGAGGAGTCCAGACAGCTTCGACTATATTCTGACCTGTGCTAGTGGCAACGACGTACCTGGTATTCGTAAGCTCGTTGGTAATGGTTGCCCTCCGACCTTTGCGAACGCAGTTGGGCAATCCGCTCTCCACATTGGAGCACTCTGGGGTAGTGCTGACGCGGTCAGGGTGCTGCTTGAGCTGAAGGCGAATCCCCGCGCCCAGAACGACAGGCGTCGTGCAACTCCTCTGCATGTTGCCGCTACTGGCAAAGGGCCTCCTGAGAGGCGGGCTGAATGTGTACGCCTTTTGATCGATTGCAGGGGCGATCCAGAGATGACGGACCACTCGGGCGCTAAAGCTGTTGATTTAGCAGATGATGATGAGGTGCGCCTTGCTTTGGGAGAGGCTCCGCTCATTTTGCACCAGTGTGTGGGCGTTAAGAACGCAATGCGTTTAGAAGATGCCATAGTCCGGGTCAAGGCGGGGCAGTTACCAGGTCTCACCTTAGACAGAAAGGATGCTGCAGGCTTGACGGCATTGCATTATGCCGTTTACGAAGGTTGGCATAAGGGTGTTGAGATGTTGGCCGCAGCTGGCGCCACTGTTTGCACACAAGCGAATGATGGCGAGACGCCTTTGCACCTTGCCGTGCAGCACGGCATGGTTGAAACCACTAGGCAATTAATTGAATTGCAGGCTAATCCGAACGTCAAAGATCAAGACAAGGAGGCAGACCCTCGCTACAAAAGCAGGTCTTTTGATTGGGATCCCGAACTGCATCGGACTCCTCTGCACTATGCTGCGGAACTCAGCAATTTGGTAGCTATTCAGCTGCTGTCCGAGGCCCGGGCTGATTCGAATGCGCTCGATTCAAAGATGCATTCTCCGCTCTATTTGGCATTGCAGGGAAGAGATGGCGCAGGATTCAAGATGGGGAGCGGCGTCCGTGTTGGCAATAACGTGGCAACCGTGCATGGTTGTCTTGGGGCTATCACGGGCGAGGTGATAGCAGGTTCCGATGGTCGACCGCGATGGCCTGTTGAAGTCAAAGGTAATTGTGGTCATACCTATCTACTGAAAGAAGAAAGTCTTGAATCCTTGGCCATCGAGGCTTTCAAGACCTTGCTCGGAGCGCGTGCAGATGTGAATGCGGGCATGGGTGAATCGCGCACTGGGCTACATGATGCGTCGCGTGGCGGACATGCTGAGTTGGTCGCTTTGATGTTGGAAGCTAGAGCCTCACTTAATCAGCAAGACAGGGCAGGGTTTTCGGCGCTCCACTTAGCAGTAAGGTCCAAGCACCATGATGTCGTGAAAGTTCTTGTGAGCGCCCGAGCCGCCCTGGATCTCAAAACAGAGGTTGGGAAGACTGCGGCAGAGCTCGCCATGAAGAACGGTTGTGGGCAAGCCATCCTGGATTTGCTAGCGGAGCAGAAGGCAGGGGTTCACATCACGGAGCATGTTGTGCCGGCTGATTCCGCGGAGTTCGTTGCATCAGTGATTCACGGTAGATTTTCGGAGACCGCCACCATGGGGGATCTCACAGCAGAGCAGCGGGCAGCTTTCTTCATCGATTGAGGGCGGGTCGTGCGCAAAGATAAGGAGATTTCTTAGCCTCACCACCCACCAAACCACCCCAACCCAACCCGAAGGCCCCACTTCGCCTCCATTCCCAGTTGGGGGGGCGTCAGGAAACATTGACAACATACAGATGGAACTCGTATCCCCCGGAACCTGGCCTTTGGGTCTTGGGGTTGGGTTGGGGTGGTCTAGTAGGTAGTCGTAGACTGCCCAAGAGGACCCCAAGAGGGCCCCAAGAAAGGCCCACGAGGGGGACTCCGGGAGCCCTCGGCGCTAAGGCGAGAGCCCCATTGTGAAAACACCCACCCTCCATTCCTTACAGTCGGCCCTGATTAGTAGTTGACCATGCCAACTCGAGGGTACCCGTGTGTCCTGTCTATCCTGACCAATGCAACCTGCATGTCCTTTGGTGTTCTGGGGCCACGTTGCCGTCGGACGAGCCTTGCGTCCTCTCGGGTGCACTGTCCAACCATGTCCGACTGTAATCTGTTGCTTCATTCAACACATCTGCGCGGCGTTGAGGCGAGAGCCGCGTTTCGAAACACAAAGCCGTCCTCCACCCTTGATGCTGCTGCTGACTTTTCGGACGGATGTGCGCAGCGCGTTGGCGAGAACCGCATTTTCACCCCCTCCCTATCCTGGACACTGTTGCAAGCTTTTAGGACGAACGTGCGCGGCGCTAAGGCGAGAGCTCCATTCTGAAAACCAAGTGACCCCGCCTCAATCCCTGAAACTGTTGTACACTCGTCATCCTCACACTGATATCACACACCGCCATCATCACACTGATATCAAGTTGAAGCTTCAGGGTCATGACTGGTGAGGCAGTGTCAAACGAAACTCCCAGCCCACCCTACCGACATGCCTGGGGGTGCGACAGGGACGAGGTACTGTTGAGGAGAAGGGATCGAGGAGGATGAGAAGGAGGAGGAGGAGGAGGAGGAGGATGAGGAGGAGGAGGAGGAGGAGGAAGAGGAGGGTGGAGGAGGAGGGGGGAGGAGGAGAAGGAGGAGGAGGAGGAGGGAGAGGAGCAGGACGACGACGACTGATGCCGCAAGGGTGGGCCTGAGCGGGCCGCTTTTCCAGGCTGCGAGCTGCCAGCCGGACCGCTGGCCGGGCCGCTACCCTTCCGATACCACCGTCCACGCTGGCGCTGCGCCTCGCGCTGGCTCTCTGGCAGGGCACCGTCTTGGACGGCTGTGGCGCAGGCCTGGGCTGGCACGATGGCCAGGGGCGCCCCCTGCGGGGCCACTGCCCTGGCTGCTCCGGCTGCCGCGCGCGCCAGTGCCACGACTGGTGGACGAGAGAGAGAGCGTGTCCGACACGCCCTCTGGCAGGCTCGGCCGAGCGGCACCCGGTCCTGAGCGTGGGGTGCCAGGCCTGACCGCGAGGAGGGGCCCCATCGTTCACCGCGCACCGCGGCTGCGGGCTCCGCCCCAGCCCCGCGGCTGCGGGCGCGCGAACCAGCTGGCTCGCCACCCCTGGCGAAGCGTCACTGCATGACAGTGCGCCGCTGTCCACGCGCGCCCCGGGCCCTGGAGTGGTCGCGCGCAGGCGCCCGAGGCTGCGCCTATCCTGCCAGGAGCGCGCGGTGGCCGCTGCTCCGCTCGGGATCTCCTGCGTGGGCTGCGCGCTCTCCTGGGCGAGGCAAGCGGGTGCACGTGCACCGCCCTGGAGAGTGCTCAGGGAGCTCCAGCTGCTCCTCCTCCTCCTCCTCCTCCTCCTCCTCCTCCTCCTCCTCCTCCTCCCTCTCCCTCTCCCTCTCCCTCTCCCTCTCCCTCTCCCTCTTCCTCTCCCTCTCCCTCTCCCTCTCCCTCTCCCTCTCCCTCAGCATGGGACGAGAGCCCTCCTTTCTGCCTGACCCAAGAGGGAGTCCAGCTGAAAGGGGATGGTGCAATCGATTTGTAGGGTTGCAGTTCATTTGGGGCGTGCAGGACACTCCGGAGTGCAATTGTACTGCTGGATTTTCGCGTGCAATACACTAGTTGCAACACAAGCACAATCTGCAGTGCAATTGTCCCAAACCTATCGCACCACCCCTTTCAGCTGGACCAGACCCCCCTCTGGGAAAAGCAGACCCTCGATCGTCGCGGCGCGAGGGCCCCCCCCCCATCCAGAAGCCGGGCGAAGGCTGGCAAACCCGTGGCTGCTAAAACGGAGCTCTGGGAAATTGTTTGTTTCTTCCGGGAAGTCGCCTGCTTACAACTATAGCGCGCTGAGCTCTATTCTGGGAGCTTGTTTTTCCCTTCCGGGAAGACCGTTCTAGCAGCCACGGTTTTGCCAGCCTGCGCCCAGCTTCCGACCCATCTGCATGCGGCAGCCCGCGGTCCCAGCACCGCTCCAGGACTCCTGCTCCCCGCCGGCCTCCCCTGCGACCTCAGCTTTAGTTCGGGCGTGTCCCCGTACAGGCAGATTTTGCGCGACAAGTGAAACATGCGCCAACAAATACTCCCAAATGGTAAAGCGAATCACCCGAAAATCCTCCCAAAACTATTTTGTGACTATTTTTGACGATTCCTCTTGTAGACGTCAGGAGCGGAAAAGAGGGGGGTGATGACTAGGACGGGGGGGGATTTCATGGCGCGGGCCATGATTTTTCCACAGATCTCGTGGCGCCCCTTCTTATTTCATTACGTCCCAGGCCCCCCCGCTGGGCCGCGCACCTGCCGCCGGTCATGATTTGCACCCCCCCCCCTCTTGGACACCCCCCTCTTGGCCGCCCCCGAAGACGGACAGGCCCGACTTAGCCTCAGCCTCCCTCGCCGCGCCGTCGGCTGGCTGCGGGTTTGGGGGACCGCACGGCGCGGCCCTGCCCTGTCGCACCGCCGACTGCGCGCTGCCGTGCCTCACTGCAGTCTGCCTCGTGCCCCCCATCGTGGACACTGTTTCGGCACAGACCCCCCCTCCTCCTCCTCCTCCTCCTCCTCCTCCTCCTCCTCCTCCTCCTCCTCCTCCTCCTCCTCCTCCTCCTCCTCCTCCTCCTCCTCCTCCTCCAGGTGGTCTTCGGGTCATAAGTCGGGCCCTTTGGAAATGAAACAATCGGGACCGGACACTTTTCCGGGTGCTCGAAATGATTCCTTGGGTGTGGTCCTTGAGTGCGATGGGAGCAAGGAGGGGGAGGGCGAGGAGGGGGGGAGGGCAAGCTAGGTGCGCTCGCGTCATATCTGACATCCTACCCCTCCCTCCCACCCCTTACCATGGCGCAGATCCCCTCTCTACTCGCTCAGTCGGATGTCGAGCAGGGCAATGATCTCGAAAGGGTACGCGATGCATTGTAGAGCACGGCATGGCATGTCGTAGAAGAGCTTCGCAAAGCGTAGTATCAACCTATCAACCTAGCATTGCATTGCATGCCGTGGCATGGCACGGGCAATGACGCCAGCGCTGCAGCGGGAGCACGAGTCGAAACGAGCGGAAGCGTGGAAATGAGGCCAGCGCTGCAGCGGGAGCACGATTCGGAACGAGTGGAAGCACGGAGATGAGGCCAGCGCTGCAGCGGGAGCACAATTCGGAACGAGCGGGGCCCGAAAATGAGGCCGGCGCCTCAGCGAGAGCAGCATTTCGAGAAAAATGCAAGCGAAAACCCAACTCCGGGGAAACCTGTGTGTAAAAAACAATACGCCGGGGGGGGGGGTCGGCCACTTTCAAACCGTCATCAGGGGAAGAGGGAGAGTAGTATTCATATTGAGTAATTGTGGAGGAGGAGGAGGAGGGGGAGGAGGAGGAGGAGGAGGAGGAGGAGGAGGAGGAGGAGGAGGAGGAGGACAGGGAAAAGCAGGCGAAGCGGGAGGAGGAGGAGGAGGAGGAGGAGGGAGGAGGAGGAGGAGGAGGAGGAGGAGGAGGAGGAGGAGGAGGAGGAACCGGGAGGAGGAGGAGGAGGAACCGGGCGGAGGACCAGGAGGAGGCAGGGGGTTGGAGCGAGGAGATATAGTGATGATGGCGACGGGGCACGGTCGGAGCCCCCCCCCAGAGTCTGGGGGCGCCCCAGAGTCTGAACAGCACCTTTTTCACTTTTTCAGGCAGAACCCCAGCCCCGCTCCAGGACTCCTGTTCTCCGCTGGCCTCCTCTGCGACCCCAGCCTCCCTCGCCGCGCCGTCGGCTGGCTGCGGACTGGGGACTGCACGGCGCGGCCCTGCCCTGTCGCCCCGCCGACAGCGCGCTCGGCCGTGCCCCCATTGTGCAGTCTGCATCGTGCCCCCGTCGTGGAGACAACAAAGTATGCATCTGGTTCATTTCGGATCATTGGGAAGTTCGGATTTTTGGGGGGCCAGGATCCTTGCGTTTCTGATTGTTCTATCCTGGGCCTGTTCTTGGCCACTAGGGGGCCAGGAACGATTGGAAACGAGCACGATTAGAAATGAGCACGCTCAGAAATGAACGACTTGTATCCATCTTGTGGATGGCACTCTCTCCTGCTGGTAGTGCTTGGAGAGGCTGGGGCCTGAGCGATCCGGTGCTCGGCAGGAGGGTAGCGTCTGATCTGCTGATGTTCTGCCTCGGAGATCCGCCTCGGCCTCCTGCGCCTGCCCTAAATGGCCGCAGCCATTGTCGCTCAAGGTGCTTCCAGCAGGTAAGCAAGCTGCTGCGGCTTCCGCACCTCCATCGGCTGACCAGCGCGCCTCGCCAGCCACGCTCGGCGGCATGCCCGCTGACATGGAGCAGTGCGCCCTGATGGCCGAGGAGAGCGCCATGCAGGAGAGCACGGCGTCCCGCACCCGCCAGTGGAAGGCGGCGTCCGTCCTCGTGGTGCTGGCCTTGGTGGCCTGCGGCAGCAACTTCGCCTACCAGTCGCACGCGCGTTCCGCCGCCGAGGTGGCCAGCTCCGGAATGTTCGTCGAGCTCGCGCGCAGCATGCAGGACAGCGACACCGCCGACGAGGCGGCCACCACCACCGAGGCCACCGACGAAGCAGCGGCCGACGACAGCGCCACCGCCGACGACGCGGCCACCACCACCGCCGCGGCCACCGACGAGGCAGCGGTCGACGACAACGCCACCGCCGTCGACAACACCACCGCCTCGCCCAAGGATAGCACCA